TAGGTCTGAAGGGTGTTTAAGACTTTCCCTTGGGTTGGCAATGTACTTGTAGAGTAGTAACATTTTCTTAAGAGTTGTTCAAAACTCCTTAAGAGCGAGATCAAAGGTCGTAATTTGTCAAGTGTTCCCTACAAGCCATGATAACTTGGTTCCCAATACAGAGCCATAGTCATCTCACTCGATTTCACACTCAGACTAGGGGTGGGTAGCGCTCCTCTAATCTCTAAATGCTATACAGTTTCTTAAGAACTCTGTTAAAGTCTTAAGGGTGGATATGCAAGTACATCCCTTTGGCTAACAGCTCGGGACTCACTATAGCCCTCATGATTCTATTGCAACGCTTAAGAGTAGTAAAATACCCTTAAAATGCGCAATTTCAAGCCTAGCCATTTTCCAGGCTCATTACCGGCTCAAATCACCTTCAGTATACCACTTATCTTCTCGAACTCCATTGCTTACTAGAATTTGAGTCGTCACCAGAGCTCCGAACCGCCATTCTAAACAATTACCTGGTGAAATTTGGCATAGAAGCTCAAGAACGTGACTTAATGCAGGAGCATCACGTAGGCAAGCTTGAAGATATGGTTGAAAGGTCCGGAGGTAACTTCGACGATCCTTTTTATCGTGAAACCATTGCACCGAATGTCGACAAAATGATTCATGTCAATCGGGCGTTCACCACTGCATTTGATCTCAGCCTTTGTAAAACTTCACATACATCCCCCCACATGAAGCCTGAGCTTCGCATTCTCCTCAATCACTTTAAGGAAAGCGAACTACATAGATTCCGAGCTGGACGTTCCTATCCCGGTCACATCGCTTCTGATATACTTTCTGAAGGCTATTCAAAACTCGGTACTGGTGGAAAGCTAGCATCATTCATCCGAGAAAGTTGTAACAAAGCGAAGTTTCTGACAGCAATTCAGAAAGAAAAAAACTGTTCCAATACGATTGAAGACAACGACATCACAATGGCAATGACTCCGACATTCACTGATACGGCTATCAACCTCAATGATACCCTGGAACCGAATTCAGATAGCGACAACAGTAGCGAGAACAGTGATGATTCTGATACTGATACTGATCACGAGCAATGGGAAGGTCAGCCAGTTACCATGGAATATGGTAGTCGGCGTAGAGATGAGGCAGAAAGCAGCTCTGAAGGGGAAGATGACGAAGGTGAAGGTGAAGAAACAGAGTCTGGCAGTGATGATGATTGGTCCGAATTCGATGATTAGATGGTGAGTTTACTTTACCTGTGCTAAACTCTTTTACGCCTGATTGGCCCCATTTCTGCACTAGCATCAGCCATACTTTGGAGAGCTTGGTGCACACGCCTCGAACGTTGTGTACTCTGATTTTCAGCATTATCACTTGAGGCAGTCACTATCTGGTTTTGCTGAGTACTACGATTGGTGGACTTGTTGGATACGTCAGTAACAACTTTCGATGGTGAGGATGGAGGGTCGGGAGTAGGAGAGCGTGAGGTTGAAGGTGAAGTTGTTTTAGACTGAGACTCGGATTCAGAATGTGTAGTTCTTCGGGCATTGCTTCGTCGTAATTGTTTTGCTTTTCGTTCTTCTGCTTCTTCAGAACGCCGTTCATGTATAACCTCCTGGAATGAGTGAAGAAATCTCCAGAGCTGCTCGGATTTTTGTTCAGCGAACCTCCAAGAATGCATAGCAAGCAAAGAGACAAGCTCGTCCTTGCATTTGATAACAAGAAATTTGTTCAAGATATCATCAATAAGAGAGTCGGAAAAATACCAGGCAATGGGATAGTTTGAGAGCGAGTAGTCAAATGGTTCGAACTCACTCCAAACCACGTTTCGGAAGTCTAGCAGCCACATCTGCATGCTTTCCTTTTCCTTCTTTCCAAGATTGTTTTTCGATTTTCGAGGTGTAGGGGTTTTTTTGAGAGGAGGTGGAGTTGGGAGCCATGTAAGGGCTGGTGAAGATTCTGGGGGAAGGAATTCATATACTTTCCCGTAACACTCAGTGCAGAGACCGCAATAAACCATCCGATTCGCGTGAAAGCAGTCTAGCACTTGGGAGTCAACAGGTGGATTCCCATAGTAGACATTGAGATTGGAAGTGTAGCATATGCTCTCAGTTAGAAATGATGCTTTCTCGACAGATATGGTATCAGTGGTTGAATCCTTTTTGGGCGAAGCGTTCTTTTTTGATGACTTTGTATTGAGAATATAGTTGGGATCGTTATGGGCTTTATTTATGACGGTTTTAAGCAATCGAACAAAATGAGTGGACACTGGCATCAAACCTTTGATAATCTCTTCAGCCGAATTCAGCAGCTTCATTGATACAAGGGCGATTCCTCGACAAATAGTGTTCGGATCCCTCCCAACACGACCACAACCTTGCCAAAAATCGTTCAATGTAGATGGGAACCCAAAGGAAATGCTGTCAAGAAGCTTTTTCCAATTCACACCTTGTGTAAAGCCAGGAGTAGCAATGACGAGCTGGAGATATGGATCGGAATCAAGAAGGTTAAATGTTTCACAATTATAGTCATCAGGACAGAGACTGTGATACATGCACATCCGTCGAAGGCGATTGAAACTCTCTGGTATAAAGTCCCAAAGGAATTCATAAATAGCATAAGCTTCGGGAATCGTATTCGTGTGAATTACAGTTTTCCGACCTTGACGCAGATAATCAAGAAGGCAAGTGTACTTAGAAAGTCCCCGAACCTTATTTAAGGGTGTTATAGCAATCTGGATGTTGGGACGTTCATTTGAACATCTTATAAGGCAATAAGAGCTTCCGAGCATGCCGAGAGACTGACAAATGGCGGTTGTGGAAGCACCAACAGCGGAAGTAGCTGTCAATGAAAGAACGGGTGTATGTTCAGGAATGCAGCCTCGAGCAAAGGATCCTATAGTTTCGAAATATGGACGGAATTTTGGACCCCAAGAGAGAATCAAATGTGCTTCGTCTACCATGAAGAGAATGAGGTTCGATCTAAAGGTCAAATCCTGGATGATTCGGCTCCACTCAGGTCCGGCCAAATGCTCTGGGTCAACGCAGATTATGTTCCAAGTCTTGCATTCGCAAATAAGGCTCTCGAGGTTTGTTTTGTCCTTTCGATATACGGTGATGTTTTCGTGGCAGTAGGAAAACCCAGGGATATTAAACTGCTCGAGTTCGTGTATCTACAGTATCGGGATAAAACTTATACTTATGTGATTTGATGGAGAAATTAAGTCAACTTACAAGATTAGTTGCTAGCGCTTTGGTTGGTGTAATAACTAATACAACGGGGTGAGAACGACTCAGAATGGGTGTTCGAAATGAAGGATAATTGTCTGGATGTTGCGAGAGTTCGAGGTGTACGAGAACAGGAATTATATACAGCGCAGACTTTCCTTCACCAGTCGCAGCAATCGCAAACAAGCTTTGACGGTTAAGAATGGTGGAGATTGCATCTAATTGCCATTCCCGTAAACCATCTGGCCATTGAGGTATGCGACGAGAAACAATGTGTTTTATGATTGCTAGCCCTTCTGTGCTTGACCAGTCATTAGTGTGAGTCATTATACGGATGCATAAGGTGTTTTCGAATAAAGGAAAGGACAGAAAAGAGAGGGAGACGACAAGACGCGGTCAAGCACTGACGCGTCGGTGTGGCAGTGCCAAGTGGATAACATAATAACTCTCTATGGCTGTTCGACCTTGTACTTTGACACCAGACTAGCTTGTATCAGCTCCTTTCTTTTTCCATACCTTCATACTACATGTTTCCCCACCATAATTATTGATTGGTCTTGTAGAATATCATTAGGAGGAGGAGGATGTACTGTTGTAGAGAGTGATTTTGTGTATGCATTTATTACAAACTTCAGTGTTCTACTTAAGGGTTAAGCCTTTAACAGCTTTAAGCCCTTACTGTACTATTTCGATCAACTGTTCAGTCACGCATCACAAGCCTGCCTGAACAGTTCAATTTTTGTAATTCATCACGCATCACAAGGAGTTTTGAACTGCATGACCAATTCTGATTTCATTGAAAATATTAATAAAAAATACTTGAAAATTCCAATTTTTCTCCATGTAGCAGTTGTCCTGTTACTTGATTTTGCTAGTATGTATTTACACTGAGATTGGTCAAAAATCCTCCTAGAATGAGCTAAAAATGGATCAAAATGAACTAAATTTTTTTTTCATCACACGCAGATCTGGGGACTGAACACAGTGAACTGGAGGTGAAAATCATCACGCATCACACCCACTGAACAGTTGATCGAAATAGTACAGTAATATCCTTAAACATAAGGCTTAAGAAATTCCATGATTGGAGGTTAAGCCCTTAAATTGGACTTTAAGGCTTAAGTATATTATAGATTAATTGAGGTTGGAAATTCCTCTGTCCCAAAATTATATGCACACCCCATTATCTTGATTACCTTCTGCACTACTGAAATAGCTCTGAATTTACACTCAGGGCTTCATGAGGCTGGACTACAAAAATTTTCAAACCATGCTACAGTATATTGAGCCATCAGATCAACTCCGAGTCTGAAGAGTATGTGGTACAATAACACTGTGTATCAATACACAGCTACCTTGAATCATTCTTTTTTTGTGACCCAAAATTTCTGATATTTTTGGCTTAAGCCTTAAAAGAAACCCTTAAATTAACCCTTAAGCTGATTTAACCCTTAAAATTTTCTTACCCTTGATTTAAGGCCCTTAAGTAGAACACTGACAAATTTACTATTTAAAATAGTAGTTCACATGATCTTTTGCTTCCTGGTTTTTGTTTATTTTCGTGTCTCCAACAGGATGCAAAAATTGTGAGCACAACAAAACCTTGGAAAAACCTGAAAAAATTACACTATTCTATGCTCTGTTTGAGCTGGGTGAAAAAAACTCCAAATCTGATAAAATGGCATAGCTGATTTTATGTTTTCATTTCGTTTCCCCGTTTGCTTCTGTACCTTCAGTAACATGAACTTACAAGGGGATTTTTAAAAAGTTTGATGAGAGTGGGATTCGAACCCACGCCCCGAAAGACTAGAGTTTAGATTCCAGACCTAAATCTAGCGCCTTAGACCACTCGGCCATCTCACCACACTTTCTTGTTCATCAGACAGGTTGATGGTCAATCAAGAGTCTACCTACGTATTGTGACCTCAAGTTCAACCTTCACAAATCGTTTTTCCTATTTGGTATCACGAGAAATATCATAAAAGTGAATGCTAATCAACGTCTGAACAACAATCTGGTACCACGTTCCGAAAGACTGGCTCCATTGTACGCTTAAATTCTCGGGGATTCCTCCTTTGGCTTAAGCCAACAGTAACATGCCACTGGATTTGAAGTATAAAGGCCTTGCTGCCAACGTAAGTGCCTTTCAGCTCTTTTATCTCCTTGCTATACTTTGACACATTATACAACATGCACGACCGCAAATCCTACAGTGGCACGAGCCGGAGTCTGCTCCTCGCAATGGATATAGGCACTACTTATAGCGGAGTGTCCTATTGGTGTGTTTGCTGAATTCTGATTGGCTGCAACGTCTAAATCACTTACGAACAGTCTTCTTGACCCTGGTGTCGTTCCAGAGATTAAACAAGTCACAAGGTAAGTACGTTCAGTCTCGAGGGTTGTGCGAGGACTACTCTTACCTTTAAATAAATCTTCCCTGAGACAGGTTCCCAGCTCAAGAGCGCATTGGCAGCGATGCCAAGATACCTTCCATTATCTACTACGACCGAGATGGAAACGTCAAAGCGATTGGCGCTGAAGCAGAACGTGAAGGAATCATCGAAATGGCTGAAGATCAGGGCTGGGATCTTTCTAAATGGTCCGTCTGCACATTACATTCTGCTTTCAAACTCTCGACTATCGACTCAGGTTCAAACTTCATCTCCGACCAGAGAACAGTGAAAGCAGCTCCTCAGTACAAACCATTCACCCTCTGCCTCCGAATAAATCCGCCGTCACCGTCCTTTCCGACTTTATTCGCTACCTTATGCAATGTACGAAATCCTTCATAATCCAATCTATGCCCGATGGCGCTTCTTTTTGGGAAAGCGTCGAGGATAATATTCAGTTTGTCCTGTCGCACCCAAATGGATGGGAAGGCGCTCAACAGAGTCAAATGAGACGCGCTGCCATCCAGGCAGGGCTCATCTCGGGCTCCAGGGAAGATTATGGTAGAATTCAATTTGTTACGGAAGGGGAAGCAAGCTTGCATTACTGTTTGAATAACGGATGCAATGTTTCTAGGGTAAGCTTGAATTCTGTCTTTCTCTCCAGAACGTTAAGCTCTTTTAGAATGGAGGGATTGTCATTGTCGACGCTGGGGGTGGAACTGTTGACCTTAGCACTTACGCAAAGATGGACACAAAAATTACAACATTTTTCAAGGAAATTTCTCGACCCCAATGTCAGTGGGACTTTGAAACTCATTACTTCTTCAGAGCTAACTAACCATTGTTCTCATAGGTCATTTCACCGGCTCAATATTTGTTACATTTCAAGCACGTCAGTATCTTCAAAGTATGTCTCTCCATCCTTTCTGAACACTCCTTTATCTCTGATATCCATGGTTAGGCAAATTAGCTAATTCACATTTCCTCGAGGATATTGACCACATCTGCCAGTGTTTCGATAGGACAACTAAATTCCATTTCAAGAATCCCGACGAGATGGCGTTCATCAAATTTGGTACCACCCGGGACAAGGATCCAAACGTAGGGATTAGGTCGGGACAAATGAAGATACCTGGGTGAGTTTTGTTTCTCTTACATACACACTAGGTCTGATCTTGGTATCTTTCAGCAAGGATGTAGCCAAGTTTTTCGAGCCCTCGATCAACTCAATTATGAAGGCGATTGTTTCTCTACTGAACGAGCCAACAAAGGAAGTTAATGTAAGTTCAACCTATTACATTTTTCGGTCAAATCTAATTTGTTATAGACGGCTTTCCTTGTCGGGGGCTTCGCGGCTAGTGACTATTTGTTCAACAAACTTGCTGATTACTTGCAGCCTACCGGATTGCAGATTTGCCGACCACAGAATCATTTGTCAGTCGTACTCTGCAATTCACTTGAATCTGACTCGATATCTGTTCTCAGGAATAAAGCTGTCGCTGATGGTGCAGTCTCTTTCTACTTGGATCACTTTGTTACTTGTCGAATCGCAAGGTGGCATTACGGAGTCAGGATGAATAAACGTTATGATAAACGTGATCCCGAGCATATGGAGCGGGAGCACACTGCCTACATCAACGTTGGGGGCATGCGAAGCATCCCAGATGGGTTTGACATCATCTTGCCCAAGGTAATTTTTTTTATTTTGGCGGCGCTCTTTATTGGCATATCAAATGTTCATTCTAGTTTGCTGTATCAGGACACTGATGTCGCTGAAACCATTGAGTTTCGTGGTAAAGAATACGTTCGGCGGTTCAAAGACGAGACATACTACAAAACGCACTCTTTGGTCTATAAAATCCTATGCTACCGAGGAAAAATTCAAAAACCAAAATGGACAGATGTCGACGCCGGTAATAATTGCAATCTGATACTTTCCAAAACACTGCTTACCGCTGTCATCTAGAAAACTTTTTCACCCTATGTTCAGTTGAGGCTGACGCCTCGCAGATACCAGTTAAACCACAACTTCATCAGGGGCAGGTGCACTACTCGATTGGCTACTCAATCATATTGTTATTTGGCCTTACCGAGCTCAAGGCCCAGATCGCTTGGTCTGAAAATGTACGTTTCCGTTTACGACGCTGAAAACAGTTCTGATTTCTGCTCGTCCAATTCCAGGGTATTGAAAAAAGGTATGTTCAGTGTCGCTATGAATTCCTTGTAACGTTGGTTTTCTTCAGAGGACCCGCACAAATTGTCTACGACGACGATTGGAGCGCTCAGGATGATTAGTCGATGACAAATACAGCAATGATCTTGCACGTATACTACAGTATGTAAGTATTATATCACATTGACGTCCATAGTCCTTCGGTGTACCGGTATCATTCATTCAATATCTACAATTGGGACAAGTTCCACGCTTATCTGCTGCTCTCTTTCTTATCGTTCTGACCCTGCGATATCGACAAACGAACGTGAAGAGATCGTGAATAGGGTACATAGATCGCACGTCAACCTCATTGCAGACTAGCGAAATAACAAGATTGACGCAACTCACTTTGCTTCGTGTAGACAGTATCGATGTGGGGTATGTGTGATTCCCGTCTTGCATTGGGGGTCTTGGCATGGTATCTGTAATTTTAATCCATCAGTCATTTCAAGCTTTTTACTTTTCAAGGAAAAGATTCGTGTGTGTGTATGTGCCACTCACCATCGGAGGCGCGTCCTCCATAATATAAGTATGGCCACAGCCTTGATAGTAATGTACATCGTGTTGAATATAGCACATGGTTCGGATATTCTAAAGATCAAGATGCCAGCAAGTTTGATTTTTCAAAGATGAGAGGGTTGGATATCTCGTCAAAGGACTCGGAATCGAAATCGAATGCGATGATGGTGGGGCAAGACTCATGAAAGGCCAGTGGCAAGACTAGGATTACAATGAGGCAGCCTTGCCTTACGGTCTTTTTATATGCTTTTCGAGTTGTTGCTGTACTGTATGCACACACATTGACATCCTATCCTTTTATCAATCGCCGTTTGTCGATGGGTGACTTATCGGCGAGTTAGTACGTAGTAAGTATGTACAACAAGTATATGAACGCCAAGTCCGGACCCAAAGAGATTTAATCAATCCTACCCTATAGGTGATATAGGTGCGTTTTCTTACCCAGCCTACTTACTTATCTGGTGCCTTCTTACTGCGAGTTGGGTACCATATGGTCATTGGTCTATTGCGCAACCGGCCACCGCCCTCATGGCAAACGCATGTCCGATGACAGTTGATCCCGAAGAAGTTGTAGATCATAAGCCAACATGGTATAGACTGACGTAGGGGTGAGATGGGATAGGTAGCTGGGTTTAAAAAAAAGTTGTGCTGGCGCGTGTATGTTTATGAGGCCTGATGCCTGATGCATGATGACCCAGAGATTAGGAGGTGCAGAGACGATTGCTGTTGGATAGCTGTGGTTATGTTCCAGAACAGCAAATATGAAGAGCTGGAACAGGGTCCTGAGTATTAGATACGAGGTGGAAGGAGCTTGAAGTGGGATGAGGTGACGAGAAACCTCGGAGGCAAAAGCCTGAATCAGGTTTTATCTCTCCACGCGTAGTGGTTCGGACTTTTCCGTGCCCCTCCTAACCATCGTTCCATCACGAAGATTGGTATTTACACTGCACGGATCTAATACAGTCATATATTACAAGATGAAAGTACATACAATCTCGACAATCAATGACACATTAACACATTGCAAGTTTACCCATCGAGAATCAAAATCAAACCGAATCATAAATACCACGTCCAGTCTATTAAAAAACCATTGCACACGACCACCAAACCATGACCCTCATTCTTCTGACCAAGATCATATCCTCACCTTGGACGCTTCCGTACCCTGACTCTGAGAGCCGGATTGCGGAACATGAGTCGACGTCGTAATCGTAGCAGCCGCAACCCCAGACGGATCCGACCTCCTAGCCTCATCCTTCTTCTTTGCAACTTCTTCTTCGCTGACCACCCTTCCACCAATCTCTTTCTCGACTTCTGCTGAGATTTCAGAGAGACATATCCGTAGGGATCCGTCGTAACCAGACTCGGTATTCGAGTACGAGTTTGGATACGAGTGTTTCCTTTTCCCAATAAGGCTAACAAATACACCTTTTCCGAGAACAGGATACGAGCCGACTTGGATATCGTGTGGTTTGAGACGGGCTTGGAGGGTGGTGAGGTAGGGTGCGATCATTGACTCTGGGCGTCTGTGATTTCGGTTGTTAGATTTACAAGAGAGATATGAAGGATGAGAAGGACGCACTCTGTGAATATCTGGATCCTCTTTGGCCTATCACACTCTGGAGGCAGCGGTAAATAATCCGTCAGGCCATTCAACATCTTTTGGAACAAAGCCGGTATTCCGGGGAAGATGCATAGTTTGCCTTCTAGTCGGACTACGGGCTGTATCATCACAC